TTTTTTTCTGTTAAGGGTAGGAATGTGACGTGGTAGGAGGAGAGGAAGGCGAAACAAAGCTGATTAATATGTACACAGTCCGACATGGGCCCACAGCGAACGATTCTATTCCTCTTTCTTAGCCAGCTCCGATCAACGCTGAGGCCGAACCGAGATAAAATATCGGCAACGATGAAAAGTAGAGGGAGTCACAAGACATTTGAAACAGCAAGCGAGGAAAAAGATACACATGTGATGAAAAGTAAGTCGGTGTCTTTTGATTGCAAAAAAAAGGATGACGATACGCAATGTCCCGAACTATGGATGAAATGGGGGAAGAATTAAACCTCCAGCCAACTTGACGAAAGCCCCTCATCATGACGAAGACAATTGTAAAGAGCTAACCTAAACGAGATTTGAATCACGTGTTTGCTTGGATAATGCAATAACACGCCGAGTGGCACTCGGTAGAAATACCAAACGAAGGAAAATCGAAGAGTGAGACAGACAAATTGATATCAAAATGATAGGAGAGTAAAAAAAAAATGAATGTTTTTATTCATTTTTTTTCATTTGGTATTTCCACCGTGTGCCACTCGGCGTGCTATTGCATTATCCAAGCAAACACGTGATTTCAAAATTGAAAAGTACGGAAGAGATTTAAAAAGGGAGATATTCCGATAATATGAAGAATCAAGATAAGTATCGTTTGCTTTACCCTTGCTCTCGTTAATAAACACTCCGTAACCCCACCAAAGTTTGCATACACCATTCCACAAAAGAAAGAGAGGAACATCGTTGACTCGACCCCATTCATTTTAAGGTTTCGAACTCTATCGATCCCTGATTACTGTATATATTTTCCTAGTCATTTCTTTGTTCTGTTGCTTTGGTAGTTAACTTATTTGTTGTTACATAAAATTTTATATAAACTTCCTGTTCCTTGCGCCGTTATCTAATGAGTTTTGACCCGTCAGACAGGCTCATTATCTTATGTTTCCTTTTCTTTTTATATATAATATTGTTAATGTGTGCTGAAATTCAGGGCGCCCCCAATTGCCTCAATACTTGCTGAGAAAATTTTTTCTTCCTTCTTTTATACTTTTTATTGTCAACGCATATACACCTTTCAATTTATAAGTATTTTGTAGATAGTATCCCAGAATACATTTCTTCATGTTTTGGTATATGACCTTGGGTTGGCTACTGACGAAATCTCCATAATTTCTCACCTAGTTTTATATAGGCCTAAAATATTAATATTTAACCTATTTATTTCCTTCTTTATACTTCCTAACTAGCCACATTGATTTAGATTACTGACATTCAATGTCGCGAGAACTATCTTTCTTTGAGTTACAGGATGACAGTCCAGTTACACCTGCCGCTCATGCCTTAGCGGGGGAGCGATCAATACCACACACACTCAATTTCGATGAAATTGAAATGGATATCTATGCCACGAAGACTAACCTCTGGTAACAAGAAAAGAGTATAAGCAGAAATGTGCGGTCATTTGAAGTAATTTTTGTGACTTTTGTATATAAGCGGAATATATATTCTGTTTGCCAATTTAAAATACTAACATTTAGATTTAATCAATTTAACCTTGCGAAGCGACGGCTTACTAGATTAGTATTAAATAAACTGGCATGAACATAGTTATTTCATACTTTCAATTCTAATCTTCAGAAGTCAATTTCTCAATTAAAGAAAATATTTTAAAACATAGTAGACATAATATATTTATTCTATTTATTCCACACACACACACACACGCGTGCGCACGACACACACACATATATATATATTGATATGCTAATTCTTAGAAAGAAACCGCATCGACCTTAATCGCTGTAATGCATCACTTCTGACGGATTACTTTTTACTCTCCCTCCCCTTTTTTTTTTGTTGGTATTTAACACATTCTTCTGCCTGAACTTCAAACTATGCACCATGCACAGGTTTTCTTTATTCTCGCCTTTAACTGCTTCTACTTTTAACTGTCAGTTTCTCGTCGACAGTTGTGTTACTATTTGTAGATTTGTTAGATTGGGCTTGAAAGCATGCTGATGATTGCCATAAATTGTTAACTTTTTATCTTCTTTTCCTATCAACAATTACTTTTCGTTCACCATTCTTATTAGCGAGCTGAATATGAAGAAAAAACGCGTCTCACTAAACGTTTCTGTTTTTCATTCGTGATATCAGTAAAAGTACCTGTTGTTTAGAAAATGTTAATGTAGCTGAAGTTCTTATCAAGTTTTGTCTGTCATCAAATGAAGCCGTTTGAAGATAAAATAGACTATTAGCTCATACAAACAATTAGGCGAGTGAACAGGTCACAAATCTGTACAGATATATTTGCATTTATATTTACAATACTTAAGCATACGCCATAGAACATATAGACGCACACACAAACATATATATAGACATGCACAAGCACATAGGCAGACGCATCCAAACGGGCTCCCGCAACAATCTTTCTGGAGGTCTTTCAAGTGAATTTGAGATGGCT